GGAACCCCTAGATCCAAGCACAATCTCATTAACCCTCTGCACCACGTCATAACCTGCCCATCTCGCTGTTTCTTCCAGTCTGGACCGATGTCTGCGAATAGTGCACGGTGTGGCAGATGATGCTCAGGCATTCGTAGGACGTGCCCTAGACGATGCAGTGAAATTATTTTTCTCAAAGAAAGACTATCTGATCCTAGCACCCGCCGCCTGACTTCATCGTTATTCGCACGATGCTCCCACCATGCGCGGGCGATGTTGCACAGACAGCGGTTGTCGAAGACTGATAGTCACTGGACGTGATATGCTCGGAGAGGCCAGGTTTCGCAGCCACAGAGCAACACGGTGCGTACCGTTGCGCAAAACGCACGCACCTTCAGTGGAAGGGATATGTCGCAGATTAGCAAACGCTAATCTAGCTTTGATCACGCGTTGAGAGATCTCTTCGCCCACACCTCCGCCAGCCGTTATGCAACTCTCAAGGTAGACAAAGCTTTCGACTACTTTCAGTGTCATTATCCAACGAAAGTGCAGGACTGGGTTCCTGCCAATCTTACAAAAACACTTTGCACTTTGAAGGTGCATAAATTTGACATATTGCGAGGTGTGACAGTAACCTATGATTTCAGTACCAAACAGGATCAACCATTATCGGAGATGAAACCCTTGTCTTTGAGCTACAAATATAGGTTTGTCTGAAGGAAACGCACGGTTTTGAGGCCTTTTTATCATGGTGATTGAAGATTTGCAATCCACGTTCTCGTAGGAACGGAGATAAGTTAACAAACTAGCGACAAGACCCAATAGGAGCCAAACAGCTGATTAGTACACTCTGTCAGCTAACAGCTCATCGTGTGTGACATTGCAGTTGTTCCGCGAAATCGGCCTGATCCCGATTTGTTCCCGGGAAGCCAGATGGGCAAGTACGGGGGATGGAGAAACTATAAGTGAAACAAAATGCTATAACTGAAATGATAACTGGGATAATGGTTAAATAACAAGTATCAAGTTGTGGGCTCCAGATGAACAGTAATTACATTGTGATTCTCTCAACTAGATGAATACCCCTCGAGGACGAGCAGTCAGAGCCAGATTATCTGTTTTCTAACGCGAATAAAACAATGTGTGAAACAGTTGCCGTGAATCAGTCCACAGTTGAAGAAAACAATTACTATCGCGTCAATTCTGTATGGCGTTCTTGGGATCGTTAACCCCGGCTGCTGGTTCAAAAACTAAAATCCATAAAGTCGACTTTGATGTGTGCAATCCAAACAAATTTTAAGTAGCATTGTGAAAATTATGCGGTTACCTGCAGTCCTGGTGGAGTACTGAAGATACCCACACCACCGGAGCTTTGGACAGGTGTTACGCTTGTCGGGTTCGTTTCGGATGTAACCACAGTTTCGGCGCTGCAATCCATCGCAGAATCTGACGCAGCGCGATGACGGACATCTTTCGCGGAGGAACAAAGTAACTGTGGGTAGTACAGATTGAAGCGTTTCAGAGGGCCTGGATCATGAGTCAGTGTGGCGGAGACGAGGATCTAAAATACGGATGAACAAGAATGTCGAACAAATTCCGAATAGAACGGGTACAAAAATGGAACGCCGCATGGCACTGGAATTATTTAGTTCGAACCTTCAAACTGCTCTTTTCACCGAGCACACATGTACGCGATTGGCATAGAATCAAATAACATCACGCATGCTGCTTTCTGTCTAGCAGTATGATCGTCAAAAAACAAACAGGAAACCGGAAAGTGGAACGACTCACTTTCTGTAGTGTTATGTCGTGCATTGTGTCATATTGGTGCATGAAATTCATCAACGGTCGTTCGCGAGTACAACCAGCTCGAGCCACGCTGGATGCGTGTTCTGGATCGAACCGGAAAGCGGCGGGTTGGTAAATAGCATCCTCCAAAACTCGGTACCAATCTTGCTTCTCCTCGGCAATTACCCGATCAGCTTCGTCTATAACCTGGCAGGTGTGATAGGGAAACCGGAGTCAATAGTGTAATCCACGGAAAATTTTAGAACATTTTTTCTTCCATAAAATGGAGCAGGCTATTCGAACAATCGAATTTAAAATGTTTGGCTTCACTTTTTATTGAGTATACAACTAATCGTTAGGAATACGGCTTTGATGGGATGGATGGAAGCTGCCCGTATAGAAGAGATAATGTTAGACGGTTGCGGTGGTGATGGGGTTTGTGTGCACTGGCCGACTTGATGATGGCCCGTAGAGCTCGACTACCACCGTCCAATATCACAGAAGCTAAAATGAATTGATCACGATTCTATTACAGATTACGATTTCAAAAGAAGTCAAATAAACCTGGGGGTCAGCCCCTACTGATGGATATACGCCCGGTGAAATCAGACCAGTATCGCTGCTTCTGAATATCATATCCCACTGTTATTTTTCCTTCTCGTTCATTTTATTTACGATGGGATTGTGGGACTGAATGATTTCAAAATAATAAGAAAATTGATTTCCGCTTCCCTAATGGTATTTTAAAAACCACATGATAAGCTGCATACACACAGAACCAAACAGACCTTTCAAATTTACGGAAAAATGACAGCTAGTTGGCCAAGTATGACCACTCAACATAATTTCATTTATTCATTTCAACATGTAACCAATTAAAGAGAACTGACAAATATACCACAACACATGAACAAAAAATCCGCAGCGTTCGCAGATTGTGTGGGCATGTTACCACCTGGTTGCTCTGACCGAGGAAGGGGGACAACCTCGGGGTCCCCACCCGAAGCCTTTGGCTAGAAAGCCAGACTTGCAAGACAACAAGGCGGAGCTCAGAGACCGCAGTCCATTGGGGGCCGGTATCTAGTTCGTCGGATCATACGCCCTTTGGGTGAGGTCAAACGTCCAAGGTGCCCAATATACCTCAATGCCCAATCGAGCCGGTGACCGTTGCCACAAACGAAAAGGTGTGTGTGGTTCGTACGCCAGTGGTCCAGCAACCCGGTTATAGCCCCGGAGGTCGGCTTTTGGTCTTCCCACTTTGGCAAGGAAACAACACCATGAGAAGGCAGTGAGTAGGACTTCCTCAGCAGAGGCTATTTGAGACGCTTGGTCGTATTGGAGCATTTCGCGAGGTGCAAGGGTAGGATGACTAGTCACAATCCGAGATACCCATTCTTATCATACTGAGGCTTTCGAAGGCAGTTGACATGAAGTGAAGATATAATACACACAACTACGAAATAGTTGGAATCGGACTTAGTGGTCACAGGCACCTGTCTATCAAAGCTGTCTGACGACAGCGCATCACAGAAGATAAGAACTTTGTCTCGATTGAAGCTGAATCTATTCTGTCATGACTTAAACAGTGATTAAATGATCACTCTTTGGATGTGAGAAGAAATAATAAATCCCACCGGAATAGCGGGACAGGCCTTGAAGACAGAAAGCATTGCACGGAACAGTGGCATATTCTTTGTAACGCTCAACTACCCATCATCTTACAAGGAATAAGAGGGAGACCGTCAGGATATCTTTCGTTTATTCAACGCCGAGTGCATGAACACACTTTGAGATAATTTGGAATTTCATGCGACAAAGCATTAAGTTTCAGCAGTCAATAAGAAAGTAAGCTTTCCAGCGCCTGGTCAGTTGACTTATTCATTGCAAGAATCAACCCGGAGATCTTGCCGAGGGTTTTTAGTGCAAATAACCTTTCACTCTCATGAAAGGTGCTTGGAAAACCATGATGCACCAGGTCACATTATTTCGCATCTACCTCAACGGTCTTCAATAATTACTCCAAGTAGCTGCTAATTTTGTCTACCAGATTTCAGGAAAATCCCAGACGTAAGTTAACTCCACAGACTTAATCTGTGTGTGCTTCTATTACTATTACATTGCTTATATTTCACACTTGTCTGGGTTCAAACCGTATGCCGAATAAATGACGGCATAAGGATCCTTCTCACAAAATAATCAGTCTATGATCTGCCTCCGAAAGCCTTAATCGGTGGTAACTAATCAATTTTTCAGAGCTCCTCGCGAAATACTTCTATACGATCTAGCGTCTCAAATAGCCTAAGCTGGAAAAACTCTACTCAGTTTTGAATTGAGGAGTGGGGGGGGGTGATTTTCACCAAAGTGGATGAACGAAAGGCCAAGAACCTGGACTAGGTTCGATTCCTACCACCACCACTCAATTTAATGAGGTAGGCAGCTCCTCTGACGCTCGGCTCCATACCACTTAAGCCGTGAAACTTGGAGTGATGAACTGTATCAAGTTAGGCGTGGTTCTGCACCCCATGGCACCGAAACCGCTTACCACTAAACTTGGGTGATGGTGACACGGTTCGAACCTTGGATATCATGGCTCCAACCAAACCAGTAACAGCTGCTTGAACCGGTAGACCATCTCAAACAAAAAAGAACGAAGATTGGTGGTTTAAAATGCTGTAAATAATGGTTGCAGACTGTAAATGGTTTAAACCATCGCCACCGTGAATGGTTAATAGTTGTCAAAACTGAACTGCCGATGATTCGTCCCTCACCGATAGCCCTCTTTAGTGGTAGACACCTGAAGTTCCACTCGTACTAAGATTATCTTACTGGGACCTCAGATGATTTGTTACTTCTAGGTCCACCAATTGGATTGTGGTTTCACAGGTCGAAATATCATATCCATAAAACTATGAAATTTTCTCTCCCTACTTCTCATCACAGGGTGTGATTAAAACTTTTTTAGCTGAATAAGGCAAAGCAATCCAATCTGTAATTGAATGATTTATCGGCTGAAGAAAGAGACAGAGAGAGCATATCTTACAGTAAACACTGGTTTACGTCAACAGCTATAGTCAGTGTGTGAAACAAACGCACCAATATTCGTAACCGCTCCATCGAAAACCCAGGTGTATTGTATATATGATCCACAAGTCGACCGGGGGTAGCTACCACAATGTCTGCTTTGCACTGGAAAGGCACAGTGGATCTAATTTACGTCAGAATGAACGGATAACTCAGGAAGGAATAATACTCACGTGTCCACAATATCATTTTGCTCTTTGGTGAAACTCTTTAATCCACAAAGTAATGCAACCTTGAGAAAGTTTATTCAACCACAAAGTGCTTTACCTGCAAACCGGTGTCCTGTGTAAGCTCTTTGAACACATTAAACACCTGCACAGCTAAGTCCCGAACTGGTAGTATGACAAGTACACGAACAAACGCATGTTGTCGGTTCAACAAAAGCTTTTAAAAAGCAACAGGAAGTCATAAAAAGCAACAACCACAAACCTGAACTACAGGGACTGCATACGCCAAAGATTTTCCACTCCCAGTTGGAGCAGATACACAAAGGTCTCTTGGCCGGACTAGAGGCCGTCGTTTTGAAGATCGGTAAGAATTTAGAATAAACGGAATAGCACAACACTGGACTAATCGGTGATGGAAAAGGTGCCAAACTACTAACTCACCTGGAAACAGTTCAGTATAACCCATGGTTTTCAGACGGGATATTAAGAGGGGATTGAGGCCGGGAAAAGAATCCACGGAACAAGAATCCGTCAATTGGGTTGTAAAACTGGTTGCATGAGTGATCCAAAAAGGCAGTACTTCATGACACTGAAGCCAGCTTGATGATGAAGGGAGGTGCTTACCTTGATTGAAGAGCGTTGCACCTTATCAGGAATCACCGTGAAACCGGCTACGATGTTATCTACTTCCAAAGCATCTGTATTTTCGTGTGTTGGGAGCTGCATCTGATCAACTGCGGCAGTCATCTACAACGAAAATTTTTTTATAAAGTAAATATCAAATAGTAAATTTAAGTTATATGTCAACAGTATTAGTGAGAGGGAGTAAGAGGGAGAGCTTCTGTAGATCAACGGAAATGAATAATGAGTTCCATAATGGCCTTCCCCGATTGACTCGAAAAATCAGGCATCGTAGTTGTCCATTGCGATTTCAACGCTCACGAAAGAAACATAAGGGAGTTCGTACGACCTTCAGTAATCTCAACCCACCGAGCGGAACAAGGAAATCACCTACTTCCACAGCCCAAGAAAAGTTCCCGTTAAGCACCACCAACTTATCACAAAAGAAACGGTCAGGAAAACGTAGATGACGCTGTACTTCAAAATCAACACTATGATAATTTGCAATTTTCCGTCTTCTGTTTGACTCTGTTCCCAACAGTTCAATCTTTCTTCTACTGTTTTGTCCAAATGAGTAGCCGAAAAACAGCAACCAAAACTACGGCACCAAGGTGCACGATAAAGGTTGTAAAAACTGAAACTGAAATGCCAGCAATTCTAGATTGTTTAGGTGTAGTTACTGCTCTTGCGTTAGCACTATACCTTCTAACAAATCGGTGATATATATATATATATGCGTTAAAAAGCACTTTTCACTGAATCAACCGGTTTGTTTTGGATTGTATGTTCCCTACATGATTTCACGTACAGTATGCCCGTGGATTACGGGGTTCATCTCTTATCATTTCTACTTGTGTGACTGAAATCGGCTGCGGTGTTTACCCTGTGCTCCTGTCCTTTTTCACAGCTTTCCTGTACTGCATGCACGCTCAGTTTTATTTATTAAGTTAATATTCTCCCCAAGTTGCCTTATTTCATTTCATCGCACTTCTGACAACACTAATCAACCATAGCACATCCCATTCACCTTCAGACGTTCTACAATGGTATTACTTTGCCTGTTATCTCCAGCAGAATCCCTTTATTCTTCCTCTAATGGGCTCCAATATGTTCACCCTCTTGATTGACAGCCCGAGACTTGCTACTCCAAATTCCTTCATCAATGCAGCTCTATCACAGAGAATTCTCCGATATTTATCGATGCAGTTGGTTCTTGATTTACCAGCTGCAATCTTATAACTCCGAGATCACTTTTCCCTAACGGCTCATCTATCTGGAGACCCTGTATATCAATAAGCCCTCCCGTGAACATCAAGTCAAGAGCTGACGGAATTTGGTCGTGCCTCCAGTTACTCCTTCCATGTGTTAGTATAGAACTCACCTTCACCTTCTGAAAAGAAAACAGTGAGGAACTCTCCTCTCTACCGGATCTGAAGGTGAATTGACTGAGCTTGCTGTCTTTTGAATAGAAAATTATCCGGACGCCACATGCAGGCATCCCCGTTAGCTTCTTCCACCGCGTTCTCTAGGAGAGCATACCAAATATAAGTTACTTCCGGAAAGTCGATACGCCGACGGAAGTCCGTTTGATTTCTGTTTGTGAAACACTAGTCCGTGGCCTCACGTGCGCNGGAAACTTTTTCTGCAGCTATCCCCCCCCCCCAGGTCGCCTAGTATGCTCTTCGTGGTCACTGTAGTAACCACGAATTTGTCAATAGCTCTATATATACAGACCCGTGATATGCCGCTGGTTGTTACTGCAAGCATGAAATCCCTTAACTAGACGGATTGCAGCTCTATCTACTCTCTCCACTTTTGTCACCTCTCCCCAGATAGTGGAAATTGATAGCCCTAACATTTCCCAAACGAGGACGGATAAGCGACGCATATGAAAGTCTTAAATCCTTTCTCGGCAACCGTCCAAAAGGGTGAAGGATTGTCCCCGGGATGTAAGAGCAGTCGGTAGTTCACCGAGTCGAAGGCCTCGGCGAAGTTGAGGTAGTAAACCTCTATCCGTTCCCCTCGATCAATGCGCCTTTTCACTTCGTCTAAGAAGCAAAGCAGGTTGGACAGGCATGACCGTTTTTTGACGAAACCGTGTTGCTCTGTGGTGGGCAGACCATTAACGACGAGATCGTGGGCGATCCTGTCGCGTAGGATTCCCTTCATCACTTTTAGTACTACTGCGTACGCTGCTCGAGTCTTGGAAATGCGGGCGGTTATCTCCTTCGATGCGCTATCGTCGTTGGTCAAGCAGCTACCTGAGTACGAGAAGCAGTCAATTTCAGCTAATTCCTGACCATCTAGTTTCAAAACATAACTCAGTGACACCCAGTTTTGTAGCATCACTTTGCACTTTGAAGGTGCAAAACGCATGCCGAACGGAGCGACAGAACTTGATAATTTGTCAAGCGCTCTTTGTTCATCGTCCATACATACGAACAAGCAAACGATGTCGTCAGCATACTCCAAATCGCACAGCTTTCATCCAGTTGCCCATTCGATACCTACATTTTGGAGACCACCAAGTGTGTTCTCCAGTATTTCGTCTATGACGAAATTGAACAGGAATGGCGAAAGCGGGTACCCCTGAAGAACACCACTGCTAGTTACGAGCGTCCTACTCAGCTCGCCGTAACCCCTTACGCTACTAGAGGTATGCGAGCACAGTGAGCTCAGTATATTCACATACTTCTGCGGCATTCCTTTGCGAAGGAGTGAATCCATAAGGGATTCACGATTAAATAAGTCGAAGGCTCCTTTTAGGTCAACGAACACGACAACCGTTGGTCGACGGTGCGTATGGCGTAGCTCGAGAACTTGACGCAGGGTGAAGATTTGATCGATACAACCGCGACCTGAACGAAATCCTGCTTGTTGTTCGCGGATTTTTGTCTCCCTAAACGGTGTCAGACGTCGAAGTATTATAGAGGCTAGTAACTTGGTGACGATTGGGATCAAGCTTATTCCACGGTGGTTTGAGCCGTCATTGCGAGAGCCCTTCTTAAAAATTGGAATGATCAGTGATTCGCTCCAGGATGATGGAATGCGCTCGTGTAGC